AAAAAAAAAAAAAAAAAAAAAAAAAAAGAAAGAAAAAAAAGAAAGAATGAGTAAACAACAGGACCTGGGGAATATTCAACATGAAATATACCTTGGGCTTCAAAACATGGCAATTATTCAGGTAGTAATTTTCACCTGTCCAATGGAACATAATTCAACTTTTGAAAAATTAAAATTACCTGCATGTATACTTGGAATGTTTTTACACTTTAAAAAAAGGTATTTCTAATGGTTTAAAATTGACTTCACATTAAAAAATGAATCCATATGGGAAAGCCCTGAACCCTGACTGCAAAAGCAGCAGAAAGTTCCCAAATTTCTCCACTGGGGCCTCCCTCTAACTTCTGCCCAGCCAGAAATAGTCTCAGACTTTCTCTGGAATAGGATGCATGGTAGGGCATTAGGGTTTCAGGGGAATCTCACATAAGAAGGGACAGATGAAGTTATGACGGCAAGCAGAGAAGCCAGACAGAACACTCACCGAGTGGGAGGCCCTAGGCTAAGCACTTCACATGCATTACTCTTCTGATCAGTGAGGGCCACACTGTTATCACTGCCATCTTGCAGGTGACACCCAAGTACAACAGAACCAGAGTCAACCTAGTTCTCATGATAAGTCCATGTTCTTAATCATTATGCCCCGAACTGACTGATATATTAATATATTCCAGGTGAATTAATCAACTGGATGGTGAAAATGACTTCTAGAAAACAGAGGTATATCAACAGCTTGAATAACTGAGGGGCAGCTACAGGTCAGAATGTACTCACTTTTAGAAATACGTATCACTGGCTGAATCAGTCATAAGAGGGAAGTGAACAAAGCATGCTTCTCCACACAAAAGCTTTATAGTCTCTGCATCTGAGAGGACCCCTCTCTCCCTTCTCCACCCACGACCAGAAAAACTGCTAGGCTGCTCTAGTAGTTGGCCTTACTTATTCATGGATTTGTCTTCCCTCATCCATAGAAAAGGTGAATTTTATTCTTCCCTTGTCTGAATTCTGTGTTTTGCAATGCTTCACTTCTATCAAGCGTTAGTCTGACCATTCCCCTTGCGAAATGGAATTCAGGGAGCAACAGTGTATGGTGCACAACAAAATTCTAGGCTTCACACTGCTCCTTCACCCTACAGCTCTCACCAGTTAGGGAATTTCCTATTTCTGTCTCGATCTACAGTGTCCACGTCAGATTTCCTATCTGGTCAGTGTATTGGGCACACCAGAAGCTATGTTTTTGTTTTTGTTTTTTTTTAAGAATTTACTTATTTATTTGAGAGAGATAGCATGAGCAGGGGAAGGGCAGAGGGAGAAGGAGAAGCAGACTCCCTGCTGAGCAGGGAGCCCAACATGGGGCTCGATCCCAGGACTCCAAGATCATGACCTGCGCTGAAATCAGATGCTTAACTGACTGAGCCACCCAGGCGCCCCTATGTCCCTATGTATTATTCTTAACTCCAGGAACCCCCCCCCGCCAATTTATATATATCTATATATAATGTACTAGGTAAATAGTCCCAAGGGAATTTTAGCAAGTGAATTATGGAACTGAAATGGAATTTAATCCGTGAAGAGTTGACGGCATTACTCCCTCCGCAGCACCAGATGGCAGTGTTGCCCAACAAGTGTACTATCTGTGTGCAGGGCTGCTGATGGCTTTAAGATAATTTTAGTCAAACACATGGCTTCTGACATTATCCAGATTCCAATATTCTACAAAGTTCTGTCACTGTGGCTTAGAAAATGGACTTTCAGAGGGATGTGCGAATGAAGGTGCTCCTCAGAGGGTCTAATTCTCTGTGTGTCCACTTCAATCCCGTGTGTCCACAGATCTGTCACTGGTGCTTTTGCTGGAAGGCCAAGCACGCACAGCTCATCACTCCCTTCATCTTTCAACAGACAGTGTTTTATGGCTCTTAAGGCATTCTTCCGGGTCCACTTCTTCACCGCCCCATCTGTTGTTAACTTGGCTTGAAAGCTTATTACACAAAGTCTTTAATGTATAATACAATAGAATCTGTGCATGAAAATAACTATCCTTAAACTTAATGACTACGATTCCTTTTAGGTGCAGTTAGCCTATTTGTGACAAATGAACTCAGTTGTTCTTGCTTTTAAGACAGTGGAAATTCTGTATCTCTTTATCTGGGTGGTGGTTACAACGTTTAAAAGTTACATCTTTAGAAAGTTATAAGGTTTACACTTGAGATTTGAATTTGTTTACTATGTGTTAATTATACACCAGTAAGAAAATGCTCATATCCTAAAGCAGCCAGATTTTTACAAAATTACCCTGGGTCTCACTTTTCACACACACACAATAATGATATTAATGCTAGCTTCATCTCACGGTTATATAATTTCTGTGTGAAGAGCTATTTTCTGTACAATAAAAATGATGCTAACACCAGGTGCCACGGGACTTAAGAAACAAAGCTAAGGGTATTCTGTCTGTTTTCATTTGCCTGGAAATTTCTGCATAGTTACTGTTTCCTCTCTGCCTTTCTTTCCCTGGCCGTGGCCACAGGTATTGCTCCAACCTGCTCCCATGCCCATTTAGGCAAGAAGAGCGCGGCCTGGCACCTGCCAGACTCTCGAGAGACAAGGCTGCTCTGCCGCAGTGCTGATGCCAGACTCCAGATACTGGGCTCGGCATTGGCAACATTTTTGTCTGTCTTTTCAGAAAGCAGGCACTGATTCCCCAAGCCTAATTTTAACTATAATATGGATCTGTAATAGGAAACCTCTTCTATCCCAAGGTTTGTGTTCTAAATGGTTCTCTGGGTCTTGGATCTGTTCCTTCATTTGGTTCTCATAGTCGCTCTGGGAGTTAGGCAGCACAAGAATCCTTAATCCCAGGACTCAGAAAGGAAAGGGGAAGTGACTCATGAATCAAAGAGGGGATGTGTCTGGCCCAGTGAACACTCGGGCTGATACACCAGACAAGAAGGAACACAGGGATGCTATTCCTTCTCTCCCTCAACATTTATTTTGTAAAAATTAGATGTTACATAGCACAACTGTTAACATACGTTTGACCTTCAGAACTCTAAATTCAAATACAGTAAAAATGGAGCATGGGAATGCAGTATAAAAAATCTGGCTTGGGGCGCCTGGGTGGCTCAGTGGGTTAAAGCCTCTGCCTTCGGCTCAAGTCATGATCCCAGGGTCCTGGGATCGAGCCTCACATCTGGCTCTCTGCTCTGTGGGGAGCCTGTTCCTCCTCTCTCTCTGCCTGCTTGTGATCTCTGTCTAATAAATAAATAAAATCTAAAAAAAAAAACACAAAAAAAACCCTGGCTTAAATTATCACCTAAATACTTAAAAACATTATGGATACATTGCTGATGGGAATGTTAATGACACATCATCTCTGGAAAACTCTATGGCAGTTTCTTAATAAACTAACAAATGGTATTACCAAGTGACCCACATTTGCATGCCTACCATTTTCCCCAGAGAAATGGAAATCTGTGTACAAACACCTGTGCACAAGTGTTCAAAAACCTGTGCACAAATGTTCACAGAAGGTTTACTCGCAATAGCTAAAAACTGAAAACAACCCAGATGTTCTTTCAACAGGCAAAGGTTAGAAATGGTTAAACAAATCTTGGTATTCCTACATGACTGGGCGGCAGAATTTTATTAACACACTACTGATGAACCCAATAATTTCAATGACATCTCCGGGAATCATGCTGAGTGAAGAAAGACACTCCCAAAAGGCTATATATTATATAATTCCATTTATGTAACTTTCTTGAAATGACATTATAGAATGGGGGACAGACTAGTGGCTGCCAGGGCTAGGGATGGGAGGAGGGGAAAGGCAGGAAGGTGTGACGGGGAGTCAATAAAAGGGCAACACGAAAGACCCTTGTGTTGATGTAAGTCTTTGGGATCTTGACCATTGGGGTGGATACACAGAGCTATGCAGGACATTAAATCACACAGAGATACATACATGCACATACACACAGAAATGAATGTGAAGACAACTGAGCAAATGTGAACCACATGGGCAGACTTTGTCAATATCCTGGCTGTGATGCTGTACTTTACTCTGCAAGCTGTCGTCAGTGTGGAATGGGTAAAGGGTATGTGGGATCTGTCTGTATTATTTTTTGTAATTGCACGTTTATCTGTAATTATCTCAAAGTAAAAAGATTAGTTAAAAAACTATGGGTTTTGGGGTGCCTGGGTGGCTCAGTCAGTTAAGTGGTTGCCTTCAGTTCAGGTCATGATCCCAGGGTCCTAGGATCGAGTCCCACATCAGGCTCCCTGCTCAGCAGAGAGCCTGCTTCTCCCTCTCTCTCTGCCTGCAGCTCTGCCTACTTGTGCTCTCTGTCAAATAAATAAATAAAATCTTAAAAAACAAAAAACAAAACCATGGGTTTTACACTTGGTATCTGTTCATTTACCAAGTCATCAGCTATAAAGAAAACTAATTCAGTCAACAAACATGATAGATGCTAGGTGTTGAAAATATGGCAATGAACAAGACAGGCAAAACCGTTTGTCCCTATGGAGCTTACACTTAGGTGGGGAGGAGACACAGTATGCCCAGTAAAGAGTATCACAAACCTTGATAGCTGGTGAAGCCATAGGGAGAAAATAAGATAGAGGACAGCAGTAAGGCAGGATTGTTCCTTCAAACAGGGTGACCAGACAAGGCTTCACCCGTATGGAGGACACTTGAGACTTGAAAGAAGAAAGGGAGCAAACCCTGTCTGGGAGGAAAGTATTCGACACAATGGGAACAGCAAGTGCAAAGGCCTGTCCTGAGGCAGGGGTGAGTCTGGCAAATGCATGGAAAGGCAGAAGAGCCAACGAGGCTGGGGCCAAGTGAGCAAGGCAGAGAGAGAAGATGAGGCAGGGGTTGGGGGCCAGAGCAGGTCGGGCCTGGGGGACCACTGGCATGGCTGATTCAGTGAGAGGGGGTACCACTGGATGTTTTAAGCAGAGGAACACCATAATCTCACTTAGGTCAAATCAGGGTTACTCTGGCGGCTCGGTGAAGAAGAGGTAAGAGGGTGGTAAGGACAAAAGTTCTACAACCAGAGTGGGGGCTTCTGCAAAATCCAGACGGAAAGACAGGACAAATGATAGAAGTGGACGTTAGCATGTTGCTGGTATGCACCTTCACAGATAAATGACAAATCATATAATACCGTGTTAACATCCTTCCAAAATACTACTCTGTGTTTTGTTACCATGGACAAAGCTAAGGCTTTAGTTGTACAGACCTTATCTTGTGACCCCGATGGCATCTCTTCTAGAGTCTCGGTGCTTCCCAGATTGGAGAGCTGACTACTTGGCTGTAACCCAGGGCTGGAGATATTGGAGTCGCCCATCTGATTCTGTAATTAAAAGAAAAGTATATCATGTGAAAACTTTGCTATTATTTGGCTAGCAAAACATCATATGTACTAACCTATCAAAATTAACATGTACCCGGGCTGAAGTTTGGAGCTTTTTTTTTTTTTTTTTTTTTAAATCTAGTCTCTTGAGAGTGCTCTAAACGGTCTGTGGTGTCTGTTTTGACATGGGTAATATGTAACTCAAATATAACTTTAGTTTCTACAGTGTGTAATTCCACATCCATCTAGTGATCTTTTTTAGGCTTTTCTCTTTTTCTTTTCCTTTTCTTTTTTTTTAGCACAGTGTTAGGCACTCCAATGTTAAAAGAATGGCTAAGAGGCATTTTTTTTTTTTCTATTCAAATGACTTAATCCTTATTTCAGAACATCTTTTACTCAGTGTTTCCCAGTTACCTAGAGGTGAAAGAGTGTGGGAAAGCCTGTGAAGTACCTTTTGGAAACATCTAGTACTGAAGTAGCGGACAATTCTCCAGGTCACACAGTGCCCATGAGGTAGTGTGGCCACCAGACAGTCCTACAGCATTACTGACTACATTCCCGTGCGGTACTGTTCATCCCTGGGACTCACTCGTTTTCTATCTGGCAGCCTATACCTCTTAACCCCCTTCAACTATTTCACCTGCTTATCAAACGGCTTCATCTCCCACCACCTCTTTATGCAACACCACCATCATCCTGTATCAACACATTATGGAGAATGCCTGGAATTAAACTGTATCAGAGAAAAGCTCAAAACACTGCTCACAGCAAGTTCTCAGAACAAAGATATAAAATGCTCAGAAGCATTTTTAAAATTGAGTTTGCACATAAAAATCCCAGCTTATTATTTTCAGGGAGAGGCTGGATACCTTGGCAACAACCAGCCAGAGCTGAGCTGCAGGTGACCCTCTGATGCCGGGCCAGGCTCTGTCTGCATCGGGTCCGCCCTGACCCGCTGCACATGCTCCCGTGGCCCATGTGGTTTGGGGGGCAGCTGAGTCTCCTATATTTACTCAACATGAGCTACAAGATGGGTTATGCTTTGAAAGGTCTCTGGAACTTCAGACATTTTTTCATACATGTGCAGGACTGTTCTTGGAAAGTTTCCTGAGTATGCTAATGACACTCTAGTATTTGTATGGATTGGGGGAAGTGGACAATCAAAAACTTTCTTGAGGTTAATTTTACAGTATTTGGTAAAAACCTTAAAAATGTCAAAATCCACAGCACATACCCTCCCCAAAGACTGACGAATCACAGACCTGTACCCCTGAAACAAGTAACACATTATATGTTAAAAAAAAAAAAAAAAGTCAAAATCCTTTGATCTACCAATTCCATTTCAAGTAATTTACCTTAAAAGAAAATGTCCAACATGAAGACTTAGCTACAGGATATATTTCTGAGTTCTTAAGAGAATCACAAAAAACCCCCAGCGTATTGTTTATGTAAGGCATGGAAGGAAAAATATGCAGCTATTAATATCACTGTTCTCTTTTTCAAAGACTTTTCATTCTACCAAAAGCAATCTCGCAAGAATTCCCTGTGAGAGGAACAGCTACTGTCACAAAGACATTGCTCTTTGGGAAAAAAACTAGTTATGAAAGAGTTAATAAAATAGACTTTTAAAACTAGTTAATAAAAGTAGTGTAGAGAAATGTACCACACACACTGGGACATATTTATACATACTTTTGGAAGGATACATAATCAAGTATTATCAGTAATTATTTCTAGGTGGTGGGACTGTGTCTTTTTCTTCTCTAATCTTTAAATATAAAATACAAACAACCCCACAAAAATCTAGGATAATTTCTGTGGTTAGAAGCAACGCAACAAGGAGCAACTGTAAAAAACTGTGGGCTTAGCTATCTTTCTTTACGTTAAAAAAGGTAAGTTGGTTGAAACAAACCATGGGACTGCCAGGGAGGTGTTTACTATAGACTGTTCTTATCTCCAAGCAGTTTCTATTATAAATCCTTTACCCCAAAATCTGGAATTTCATTCATTGCATGACACACAGTGGATGGGGGAGTTTTAGGATTGGGAGCACATCCCATTGCTGAGGTGTGGTTTGTACCCTGCCCTTGACTCTGTCAATCTAAGTCTCTACCTAAAGATAAACGAAGGAGCCATCTGGAACCGTGCCACAGCTGAGAGCGTGCATGCAAACACCGAGATATGAATTCATGGGTCACTGCTAATACCAAGCCCATTTGGTGAGATGACAGGCAAGTGCAGATAAGAAACAAAACTGTTCTTTCAGGAAGCTCTGTCTATGTACAGATAGTTTTCAAAAACAGAAATAATGCGTCATAAAGTAATTACCAAAGATTTGACTAAGTTCCCAAAGGTTTTAGTTTTAGAGATCATTTTATTGATCCCACACCATGGGAACATTTTCTTTACAACAGTTATTTGCTACGGTGCTCCCCATATTCCTACTTTCACAATGTGTATTAACCAGGAATCAGGTCAGATTTTCAGACTGCCTGCTTGACCTCAAGTTCCTTGACAGCTCTGTGTACAAAAACTAAGCTTCCGTTCCTCTTTCATTTTGTGGCCACTCTCTCCTTAGCCTGAGGAGTAGGCTGGGGCACCTTCTAGAATGCCAGCTCTGGTGTACGGGCCCGACACTTTCTGTCCTGTGTGACAGCACGGTGACCTAGTCATCACTACGTATGCGCCACGGAGACCTGGGTTTATTAGTTACCTGTTATCAGAACACAGAAAAGCCTCTACAAAAACTGAAAGAGGCATCTGTGTAGATAATCCAGATCTTATTAAGGATATGAGGGGATCTGGGGGGAATATAAGGTGACCTGCAAGTACAAAAAGTGATTCTTAAAATTTATTCTCATCCAGTTCCCTAGACATCAATGAATCTACTACAGAGATGACTGCTTTTCCTATATTAATTTTCACAGATCCAGAAAGTCCTCCTAATTCTCTATGAGACACTGAGGCATTTGGTATAACTTGAAACTTCTCATGGACTCCACTGTATACTTCTCCACACCGGAAATGGGCCTTCCTTTGGTGTCTAAATAGAACTTCCTTTGTCAGAGGAAACTCCCTTCCAGAGCACTACTTCCAAAGTTTGCTTCCTAAACTAGATTTTTGAGATGCAAAGGGGAGTATGTGAAAAATGGTCCTGTGGTTAAATTAACTTGGGAATTTATTATAGGACCTCTCAGAGTCTTGAGCATTGCTAAGCCCCATGAAGAAGGGGGAGGAGGAGCCATGTAAACAATGTTTCCTTAACTCACTTGACCAACTGGAACCTTTCCGTAAGGATCACTTGCTAACCATGTATAGGCTACTGTTAGAGCAGAACCGTTTGGGAAATATACCAGAGAGTGGTTTTCATACCTTATTCCTTAAACTTTGGGTGAGATGAGGATTATACAAAAAATGAAAGAAAGTACTTAACGAAATACGAGTAAAGAGTAAGGTGACAATTACAATTCCATGGCAACAAAGTGCCGCAGTGGGAACCTTCAGTCCTGCTCCTAGGAAGCGTGGGGCTCTGAAGTGCCCACGTCAAGCAAAAAGCCAGGATAGTTCCAAAGCCACATGTGCAGTTTGAAGACCACTAAGGAAATATGCACTGCTTGACACACAGTAGACAGTTCGTAAGTGTGTATTAAATAAATTAACAAATGTACTGCAACTTCCATTTTATTCAACCTGGGGAGGAAATGTTATGATTTAACTTTTAAACTAACACACAAAAGAGAAGAAAAAAAAAAAAAGAATTCTAGAAAAGCTTCACATGTGGGTAAAATCTAAATGCTGCTTATTAAAGGCCATGAACCCACCACTAATTAGAGACCATAAATATACCCTTTAGTATTAGCAGGTGCAAATGATCAGACTACATAAATTCCTAAGCCCTAGCAAAGACTGCAGGGGTGAACAAGAGGCAAGAAGCTTTTTCAGAACTACCTGTTGCAGGCTAACTTCTGCACCCTGAAACCATTTTCTCCCATAGTAATGACAGAAAAAGAACATTCTACACTTTCATGCCAACTCAAGGACTCTGAGATAAGCAAATTTCTTTCCCTGTCTTTTGGGCTAGAAACAGTAGGATGCACTTTCTTTTTGGACTAATTCTCTCTTCCGGCCTTGAGGTAACTTCTGCAGTACATGAGACCCTGGCAGGACTCCTCCCCTCTGGGTCCTCCCAGTCAGCATCTCACCCTCTCATATTCATCCTTGGCTCTGCTTAGCATCTCCAGGATGTCGATGGGCCTGTGGTCACTGCAGCCGTTGGCCTGGCTGGGACTCTGCTTGTCCCGAGCAGCTTGCTGGGACCGCCGTGTCTCCTCTTCTACAACACTAGTGGAAGAGAAACAGGTTTCAGAAAGACTTCTTTAGACAAAACCTGACCCATGAACTCTCCTGGTGCTCATCTTCTCAGGAAATGGAAAGAACATCATAGGATACACAGCCCTCCCAATACAAACGCAGGGCCTCGGTTACCTCATCCTGGGACTACGTGACTGACCGCTTCACCAGCTCATGCACAGCAATGCCGACTGATGGTGTCTCACTGTTAGGAAAGAAGTATGGAATCTCTTCTAGCATTGGTGGGAGCAGTAAGTTAAAAAAGACAAAATTATTTCTTCCTCTTTTTTGAAGTCTCTCAGACTCAGTCAAGTACCAGGTAGAGTACATTTTCAGATGGACATGCCAGCAAGACAAAGGCAGGCTGCAGAGCTGAGGAGCCCACTGTGCAAATTTTGTACCGACACCGGACTACCGAAGAGGGAGAGGACCTTCTTGAGAAGAGAGGTCTCAGGGAATCTTCAAAGGTTTCCCTTATTCTCTTCTTAGAAATCACTGAGTGGGTGGTTGAGGTCAGGGTGATTGTGGCAATGCTCTTTATTCTGATTGGTGCTTACGCTAATTCTGCACTTGAAAATACATAAAGCGAGAAAAGTTGAAGGTTAAGAACGCCACTGATAGGGTCTTTTTAAAGTTCATTTAGGTTTTAATCCCAGCTTTACTGAACAGGCTTATCAGCCACAGGTTATTATGGGCACAGACCCAGCTTGATAACTGTATGAACTGAGAACCTTCTGGATAGTGATAAGGATAGGCAATAAAATAATTTAGGAGCAAAAGTTTTGAGTTTTGTTTGTTTTTGAATAACTGGAGTAGGACAAGAACAGGCTGCTCAGTGTATGTTCACTACATTAAGAAAGCCTGCCTAGGAGCTCCCATTAATGTGTGTGGGATGGTTCTTGTATTTGAAAACATTACACAATACTAAACAGAGCCTTTATTTTTTAAACAGCAGAATCATTCGCAGTTTTTAACATGCTAACATGTATTATGATTCTCCAAGAAGGGTGGGCTTATAAATTTTCCCAAGTTTATTTGACCATAGAATCTTCTCCTGAGGTGGGATTTGTTTGGAAAATGCTACTTTAAGATAACGTCATTTCTCTATCTAGAGTCTAATAGCTCTGAATAGGATGACAGGTCAATTTTATTTTTTTAAAAGATTTTATTTATTTGACAGAGCGAGAGAGCACAAGCAGGGAGAGGGAAAAGCAGGGTCCCCACTGAGCAGGAGGCTGATGTGGGGTTCAATCCCAGGATCTGGGATCATGACCTGAACTGAAGGCAGACACTTAACTGACTGAGCCACCCAGGAGACCCTGGGATGATTATTTCTAAAATGAATGTACAATCATAGACTTTACAGTAGAGTGAAAGAAGACCTGTATGTGATATGAGGATCTGACCAATTAGAATCAATATTGTTTCTTTTATATTCATACTGGGAAAGGAAGATTGTATTGTCACAGCTGTGGGGTCTGCTGCAAAGGAAAAGAAGACTGGATAGACATATTGGTTATTTCTTGATGGTGGGTCACAAGCAATTTCACTTTCCTTTTTTGCACTTTTCTTCATTTGCCATAATTAACAGGTGCTCCTTTAATAATCAGGAGAAAAAAAGATTGCTATTTCAAGTGACTTGTATTTACAATCAGTTATAGGCTGCACTGGTCTGAATCCACCTTTTCTCAGGACTCTGGTCATGCAGCCTATTTCTCCTACCTCCTGCCATGCTGCCTGGCTTGCCCAGGCTGGCACTCCTCTTCTCCCTGACCTGGACAGGATCTGTAATTTTGATTCGAAAGAAGAACATTTTTTTTTTCTTTCCCTTTTTTTCCTTTCTTTTCCCTCCCTCCCTTCCTTCTTTCCTTCTTCTCTCTCTTTCTAAATAAACTTTATGCCCAAATAGAGCCTGAACTCCTGACCCTGAGATCAAGAGTAGCGTACTCTACTGACTGAGCCAGCCAGGCATCCCCAAAGGGAAGAACACTTCTAGCAGTCACCACTGCTCACCGGTGGAACAGGCTACCTTACAAAGCTCACCACTGCTGTAAGCAGAAGCTATCCAGATGATGGAAGGGACAGGAATGATGCTTGGACTATGAAAGGCCTTTTCCAATCCAAACTCTGTGAGGAACACCCCTGCCTCTCGCCCTTCTCTCAAATATGCTCCAAGCCTATCTGTAAAATCAGGAATAAAGCTTACTTCCACGAGTTCCCCAAATCTCATAGCCTATATAAACAAGTGTTTATTGTTTTTTTTTTTTAAAGATTTTTATTTATTTATTTGACAGACAGAGATCACAAGTAGGCAGAGAGGCAGGCAGAGAGAGGAAGGGAAGCAGGCTCCCTGCCGAGCAGAGAGCCTGATGTGGGGCTTGAACCCAGGACCCTGGGATCATGACCTGAGCCGAAGGCAGCGGTTTTAACCCACTGAGCCACCCAGGCGCCCTGTTTTGTTTTTTTTTTAAAGATTTTATTTTTTTATTTATTTGACAGAGATCACAAGTAGGCAGAGAGGCAGGCAGAGAGAGAGGAGGAAGCAGGCTCCCTGCTGAACAGAGAGCCCGATGTGGGGCTCGATCCCAGGACCCTGGGACCATGACCTGAGCCGAAGGCAGAGGCTTTAACCCACTGAGCCACCCAGGCGCCCCAAGTGTTTATTGTTAAGAAAAGTTTCTGGCAGAGTAGATTTCCTCTTTAGGAGAGTCAGCATTTCCTAAGTTTAGTGGATTTTCAACTTTGCCACTGACTAGAGAGGATTTCCAAATTCGGATACAGTACAGGTCTAGAAGTTTGCTTGTTCTCCCACACAGCTTCTCAGTTTCTACAAACATCTTTTGGAATACGTCAATTTCTTTACTTGGAGAATTGTTACCATATTGTGGCTGTGGAACAGTGATTGAACAGGATGGGCACCGACAAGCACAGTTATTGACACATAATATGTCCATCCCAGGGTCACCTGTGTTTCTGGTTGGCAGAGATGATATTCTGAAATATGTGGCAAAGAGTGGCTGTACACAGGCAAAGTCAGAGCAAGGAAAGATAAAGTAGTCTTTTTTTATCTTTGGTGACCAGAACACCATTTATCACAAAGTTAATGTTAACATATAAGGTATTCTCTTTGGCCATAAATAGGTCAGACACTTAGAACTCTTTATCAACAGTTTCATGAGGGCACTCTAATCACTTTCAATACCTCCCCCGCTTCTAGTAAAATCAGCTGAAAGCATAAGCAAATGGGTCTCTTTGGGGCATTTCTTATGAAAGAACCCGAAGGCTCTTCTTTTCCCTTCTGGTTTTTGTTTCTACTTTCTCTCCCTATTTTGGTTCCATACAATATTTTCAGATAGGCCTTCAGTCTTCTGCCTCATTTACCTGACGTCTTATATGAGGGTTATCAATGGCCCTGATAGTTTATAAAAAAAGCTCAAATTGCTTTCCTGTAAATAGCTATTAAAGCTAAAAGAGACACAGTTCTCACTTGGGGACCCCCCCCCAAAGCTCTCAATCTGCAGGAGACAGTCTATATATTAATATATTCCAAAGTTTGGATATTTAAGGAAAATATTCTGGATTTCAGAATAACCAAGACTCAGCAAATCTGTGTCTTCTAAGTAATTAGAAGTAGAGTGCCTTTGCTGTAACTTTCAAAACTACAAAAAAGTAGTCATCAAATAAGCAAATGGCTTTGTAAAAAACAATTTTAATTAATTAATTTCCTGAGAAAAAGTGTTGTAAAAAGAAAGTGTGGTTCACGTTTTCAAGCCTGAGGGATCCAAGTTCATTTGGATCACTGTCTGCAGGGGTGTGTGCCCAGAGTAATAAACATGGCCACCCCATGAGCTCACAGCCAAGCAAACAAAGCAGGAGGCTGACGAACATCCCATCAGGACATGTGAGTGGTCCTGGATTAAAATGTCACCATAGCCATGTGTGCTTTTTGTAAAATGCAAATATACCTGGAACTGAGGTTTGGGAGCTAATTATTTACTTACACATTTACAGAAATTAGTGTAAAATTGGCCTGTTTTAACATGCTAAAAATGAAGACTGTTTTCTTCTAAAGATGTAGGTAAGAACCTTGGAGGAGAGCAAAGGGAATTCTGATTGGACAGAGGGGGCTCCACATCTCTGAGGAGATTCAGGTAAAAACTGTGTGAGGGAAACACAGGTGAGCCAGAACACAGTGCCCGCTGCAACGCTCTGCCCAGAGCCGTGTTTTACCGTGGGCACCCTGAGCACCAGTATCTTGGGCTCCCAGAATGCAGACTAGCAGTGTCAGCAGCACAGGTAAGCCAGGCGGCTCCCAAGGGCTGGCCTGAGAAAGAACAGGGAGTCCCCCTTCAGCACATTAATTCAATGAAATTACTCTCCCAATTCCAAGATTCTGACATAGAAAACATTTACTGGAATACAACCTGGTGGTGAACTAGGGACTACTAAACCTAAAATTGGTATGAAGACAAAGTTCACTTGAGGAAAGCATGAGCAGGAGTTCTCCACCAGCCACTGAACGTGGCACCACTTGTCAGAGCGGAAACCTGGAGGGAGCCTGCAATAAAAGTCCTTTAGTAAAGCCCCTGCAGCTGATGGGAAGGCTGTGCCCTGGGTGTCAATGGTATCCTCTGGGGTTAGGCAGTCTGACAGCCCTAAGCACATCACCCAACCTAATGTACAAATAAAGAAAAAGACTAGAAGGAAACGGACTAAAACCCTGACAATGGAGTAGTAGGATTACAGATGATTCTAGAGTTCTCTAAGGTTTTCTGCCTCTAACAAACTTTGACAATAAGCAGGATATCAGGAAAGAAATAAATGAGTTAGTAGACTCAGGAACAAAGAGAAGGGTTAAAGTCATTTCTTCATCTCTCATATATCACTAATCGAATCTACGTTGTGATATAAATACTTACTCGGCCATGAGTTTGGCTATGCGGTGACAGTCATTCTTGTCGTAAAACCAGATGCTGTATATCGACACTTGAAAAACAAAGGAGAGAAAAAGATGAGGGGAAATGAGGTTTCAACATTTGGGTGTATATAAGTACTACATTATCACCATGGAATGTCACAGAATTTACCACGAAACCCTCAGATTGTTAGGAGTTCCTCTAAAGAAAAAAAAAAGCCTCTCCCCTAAACTGTTTAATAAAATTATTAATAAAATTAGGATAGGCAAAATATCCAGATGAAAACTGAAAGCTTGTTTTTGGGCGGGATTACTAGATCTCACTGAGTCCAAGGAGCCACTAAGTGCAAGCAGCACCATTATTTTATGTATTATCGAGAAAGAAAAACACCACCAGTTAAATTCTAACATTGATGTAAGATGAATTCCAAATGGATATCAAAATATGAAAAAAAAAGTGTCTTAGTTATTGAAAACCCAGTTTACCCATCAGCTAATCGAAACACCAGGACCTCTACCTTGAAGCTTGAAATAGGGAATTAGTAGTTCCAGTCAAAACAGACACCAGCTCCAGACCCAGCACATGACCAGCACCATTTACATAGGAACCGGAAGTGCCGGGGCTGGGCTCAGTCTATCACTCTTCTTACTTTTCCTTTTTCATTCCTAGCATGGATCGTGTGGTCAACACTAAGAGAACCCTCAGAAGATATCTGGTAAGTAGGTAAATGAACCTTATTATTACTAAAGGTAACAATACGTAAAAATGACTAAATAATTTCTGAATAAGGTGGAGTAGAAGTACTGAATACTTCAGTCAAAATAAACGTAAGGATAGCTAGGACTCACTGTTACCATGTGTACCCACTGTAACCCTCACAGCCTGGCTCAGGCTGCACCTCCCTTCATACTTATGTTGACCGGTACAGGAAGTGTAGGTATCATAGGCCTTTCTTTTTATAATAAACTTTTTTTTTTTTAAATACAGGAGGCAGGATTTTTTAGTGGGCATGAATAAGGAGGGTGCAGTGCCAGTTCTCATGAGTGCAGAGCCTGTCGTTTGTCCAAGGGGCCATTATTAGGGATATAACTGACCCACAGCCATCTGGGATGAGGGGCTTTTCAACCATAATGTCTTCCAATTCATCTGCATTCAACTTCTTGGAAATGTGGATCTTCCTGTGGCCAGGGAACTTGAACTTGGCCCTTTGTATGGCCTTAATCACATGCTCCTTGCTCTGCAACTTGGTAAGGATGGACATGATGACTTGGCCAACTGTGGACCCTGGCCACTGTACCCTGGGCCTTTCCAAAGGCGCGCTCTGCCTGTCGGTCTGGAGCACCTCAACCCCAGCATAGGACGGTATCGTGTTGATACAGAGGATGTGGAAGGGGGAAAGCTGCACTCGGATGTGAAACCATCACTGCCACAGCTTTTCACCATGTACTTGTCGGCACAAATAGGGGCAGCTTCCAGGGCTTCAAAGGAGAGCGGCTCATACTCATCTGAGATCATGTTGCCACATAGTAGGTACTCATCCATTTTTGCCTTCTTCCGCCTCGTGTCAAAGATGCAGATCTTGGCATCAGGGACATCTCTGTAGAAGTGAGACTTTGGATATGGCTTGTTCTTATGATACCAGTAACATGGGTTGTATGGCAGCCCATGGCGACAGCAGGGTGGCACCCCGAAGGAAGACTGCTAAACTTTTAATTTTGATGTAATTGTAGCTTCACACACAATTGTAAAACACAAATGGAGAACATGTGTGCCCTCTGTTTCTTCCAATGGTAACATTCTGTAAAGTTGTAACATAATATAGCCAGGCATGGTCACAAGGAACCCTGGTGTCCTTCTATAGTCACACCCTCCCTGCTTGGTCCCTCTCCCCTGTCTCTGACCCCTAGCAAACACACTAATCTGTTCCCCATTTCTTTAACATTCTATTTCAAGAATGTTCTATGTTGGGGCGCCTGGGTGGCTCAGTAGGTTAAAGCCTCTGCCTTTGGCTCAGGTCATGGTCCCAGGGTCCTGGGATCGAGCCCCACATCAGACTCTCTGCTCAACGGGGAGCCTGCTTCCTCCTCTCTCTCTGCCTGCCTCTCTGCCTATTTGTGATCTCTGTCAAATAAATAAATAAAATCTTAAAAAAAAAAAAAAGAATGTTCTATGTTATAAATGGAATTACATAGAATGCGACTTTCTGAGACTGACTTTTCTGATTCAACATAATTCTCTGGATATTGATCCAAGTTGTTGCTTGCATCAAATAGTTCATTCCCCCCTGCCCTCACCACCCCCCACTTTTGTTTGCTGAGTAGGATATTTCATGGTATGGATGTACCTGTTCAACCATTTATCCATTTGAGGATATGTGATATGTTTCCAGTTTTCGGCTACTACGAATAAAGCTATAAATGTTCGTGCAAAGGTTTTTGTGTGAACAGAAGTTTTCCTCTCTGGGCTAAATGCCCCAAAGTACAATTACTGAGTCACGGCAGTTGCACGTTCAGTTTAATAAGAAAGTCTTAACCTGTTCCCCAGAGTAACCCACCAGCAATGTATGAGCAATGCAGTTTCTCTGCATCCTTGCCAGCATTTGTTCTCCTATTTTTAACTTCCTCCGTTCTGCACTAACAGGTGTATAGTGACATCTCACGGTGGTTTTAGTTTCTATCTCCCTAATAGCTAAAAATGCTAAGCATCTTTTCAGGTCCTACTTTGTCATCCATATATCCTGTTTAGTCAAATGTCTGCTCACGTCTTTTGCCCCTTCTAACTGATTTTTTAAAAAATATTTACTTTTTTTCACTTACTTGAGAGCGAGCGAGTGAGCGAGCACGAGTGGGAGGGGCAGGAGAGGGAGAGAGAATCTGAAGCAGACTGCGCTGACATGGAGCCTGATGTGAGGCTCAATTCCATGACCCTGAGTCGAAATCAACAGTCTGAGGTCCAACCAACTATGCCACCCAGGAGCCCCCTAATTGATTTTTCTTTTTTCTTTCCTGTTGAATTTTATGAGTTCTTTATATATTCAAGATACTAGTCCTCTGTTGGATATATATGTGGTTTGAAGATATTTTCTCCCTGTCTGTAGCTTGTTTTTCATCCTCTTAATAAGGGCTTTCCAGAGCAAAAGTTTTTAATTTTGACAAGGTCCAATTTATTAATTTTTCCATTTATGGATCATGCTTTTGGTGTCAAGTCAAATAATTTTTTGCTAATAGACACCTAGTTCCAAAAACTTTTCCTAAAAGGTTTATAGTTTTACATTTCAGTCAGTGATCCATTTTGAGTTAACTTTTCTAGAAAAATGTTTAGGTTAAGGTCCTTTTCTTTTTCTTTTCTCTCTCTCTCTCTCTCTCTCTCTTTTTTTTTTTTTTTTTTTTGGCCTAATTGCTCCAGCATTATTTGTTGAAAATGCTCTCCTCCCTCTCTCTTTTTTAAAAGATTTATTTTAGAGAGAGAGAAACTTCAGCAGACTCCTCACTGGGCTTGGAGCCCAACTCAAGGCTCAATCTCACAACCCTGAGATCAAGACTTGCACTGAAACCAGGAGTCAGATGCTCAACTGACTACGCCACCGAGGGGCCCCTGCTCTCCTCTCTCTATTGAGGAATCTTTTTTACCTTTGTCAAATGGCAGTTGGGCATATTTTTGTGGGTCTATTTCCTATTTTGTGTATTTCATCCCACTTATTTATGCATGTATCCCTCCACCAATACCACACTGTCTTGATTATTGCTGCTATATAGCAGGCTTTAATATTGGGTAGAATAATTCCTCCCACTTTATGCATCTTTTCCAAATTGTTTTAGCTTCTACAGCCTATGCCTTTCCATATAAATTTTAGAATCATTTGTTTATGTCTACAAAAATCTTTGCTGGTATTTTGAAAGGAAGTGCTTTAAACCTATAGACTAATTTGGAAATAGGTGAATTTGTACTATGTAGAGTCCTTCAATACATAAATACAGTCTACTTCTCCATTTATTCAGGTTTTTAAAAAAAATTCTTTCATTAGTATTTTGTAATTTTCAGCACACAGATCCTATACATGTTTTGTTAACCTTATGCCTAAATAGTTAATTTTCTTTTTAAGAATTATAAATGGTAGGGTTTAAAAAAAAGTCTATTTATTTATTTTTATTAATCTCTACGCTCAATGTGTGGCTCAAACTCACAACCCTGAAATCAAGAGTCACATGCTCTTCCGACTGAGCCAGCTAGGCACCCCAAAATGGTAGTTTTTAATTGTGACTGATTTTTGAGTGTTGATCTCGTATCCTCATACCTTACACCAAACTCATTAGTTCTAGAAATTTGTACCTAGACAGTCCTCTTATCTGTAAGTAACACTTTCATTATTTCTTTCTCTTTCCTTTCTATTCCAATATGTAGACCTATTTTTCTTTCTTGTCTTACTGCAGTGGTTAGAACTTTCAGTGCTGTGTTGCAAAGCTGTGTTGACTGTGGACATCCTTGCCTTATTCTCAATCTTAGAGGGAAGACACCCTTTCACTATAAATATAATGTTGGCTGTAAGTCTGTTGTAGATGCTCTTTATCAAGATGACATAGTTCACTTCTATTCCAACTAGAGAATTTTTATGATGAATGGATATATAATTTTTTTCCTGCATCAAAAAACACAAAATATGATCATGTGATATTTCTATTTCATATTTAGTCTTGATATGATGGAGTAAACTGACTGATTTTCAATACGGAACCAGCTTTGCAACTCTGGAATAAAACCCATTTGGGCATCACTTATATCTGTTTTCTCTATATTGTTGGGTTTGCTTTTATTTGGTTGAGGATTTTTTTTTTTACCTAGTTCATGAGAGATACTGCTTTGTGGGTTTTGTTGTTGTTGTTGTTTTTGTACAGTCTTTGCCTTGTTTGGGTATCAGAGTAATGCTGGCTCTGTAAAATCAGCTGACAACTGTTCTTTCCCTGTCTGTTTTCTGGAAGAAACTGTAAAATTAGTGTTAATTCTTTGAACTCTCCAGTAAAACCATCTGGGCCTGGATATTTCTTTTCCTTTTAAATTATTAATTCAATTTCTTCAAGGGCTAAAGGATTATTCACGTCCTCTAATTTATCTTGGTTGAGTTTTGTAGTTTGGGTTTTCAAGGTTCATTTCTTCTAACTTATCAAGTTTGAGTGTAAAGTTATTCATAGCATTGGTTTATTACCCTTTTAATGTCTGGAGAATCTACAGTGATATCCACTATTCTATTCCTGATACTGGTACTTTGTGTCTTCTTATTTTTGTTGGTATTACTAAAGGTTTATCAATCTTATTGACCTTTTAAAAAAATTTTTTAAAACCTAGCTTTTTGCTTCATTAATTTTTGTTTCCATATTTTCAACATCATTGATTTCTTCTGTGCTCATTTTTATTCTTTCCTTACTTCTATATGCTTTGAGCTTATTTTGCTCTTGTTTTTAAAAGTTCCTGAAGTGAGAATTTAGTAGGTTCTCAGCCAGTGTCACTTGAAAGGGCGGGAGGAGGAATTTCCCTGGCTAGGCCACCTGGTGGGCCTTCTAGAGAAGGGAGCCTCCAGCCTTCACAAATGAAGACTGCTTCCCAGGCCAGGTTGGTGATGTGGCTCCTCCTCTACCCCGTACCTCGCCTTCATGGAAGGGAAGGAAAGCACTCCCTTGGTGGCCACTTATTGCCAACAGGGCTTTTAATCCTTCCTGTCAGTTTTCCTGGGCTCACCTGATACTGTTGGCAGGACTCCCACTAGATCCAGGAGGGGAATGGGCCTACCTGATCTGTCTTGTGTTGCTAGGCTGGAAGTCAACAAATACCAGACGTGGGTGCCCTTCTTCTGTTGGGTGAGAGGGTTTTAAGACCCTGCTGCTGGGTTGTTTTGCCAGTCCTGGGTCTTCCTTTTTCTACCTTTCAGAGTTCTCCCAATTGTCTCTTGTGCTTTTTCTGGGTTTTTATGGTTATAAACAGGGAGAAGCAAGGAGAGACCAGTCTGTGCCATCTTGCTTGGATGAGAAGTCTCATTACATATTTTCATGGAAAGACTAAGGGGCTTATTAAAAACCAGAGATTAAAAGTCTGAGAACTGTAGCTAGAACTCAGGTATTCCCATTACTAGGCCAATAGTCTTAACATCACACAGCCACTGCCTCATTACATGAAATAACATAAAATTTTTTATAGAAACAAAAAGTTAATGAGCTTTAATTATGCTTGAAGACTAAAGTAACACATGAAATAGAGTATAAATAAGTTAAAAATTATAAATAAAAGAATGACAGGATATAGGAAATACAATGCTAGAACAAGAAACTTTAAATTGGGGCATCTATGTGGCTCAGATGGTTTAGCAACTGCATTTGGCTTGGGTCATAGGATCGAGCCCTGTATCAGGCTCCCTGCTTGGTGGGGAACCTGCTTGTCCCTCTCCCTATGCCCCTTTCCCCCCTGCTCATGTACTCTCTCTTAAATAAATAAATAAAACAAGAAACTTTAAAGATCCTTTTCATAACTATTATTTGTACTCTATTAACATACATTAATATGTATTGATACAGTAATTGGGAAAGCCAGCTAGAAGCTTTTTTAAAATTGAGGTATAAATGACATAACATTATTAGTTTCAAGTATATAATGTAATGATTATTTGTATATATTGTAAAATGATCACCACAGTAAGTTCAGTTAACACCCATCACCATACACAGTCACAAAACTTTTTCTTGTAAGGAGTACTTTCAAGATCCACTCTTAGCTACTTTCAAATATGCAATACAGTGTTACTAACTAGTGACCAGGCTTTAATATCACATCCCCATGACTTACTCATTCTGTAACTGGAAATTTGTACCTTTTGACTCCCCTTCACCCATTCTTCCTCCCTTCCTCTGCCTCAGGCAACCATAAATCTGTTCCCCATATCCATGAGCTTGGTTTTTGTTTTTTGTTTTTTTTCCTTAATGATTCCACATATACTGGGGCACCTGAGTAGTTAAGTGGTTAAGTGCACCAGTTGGTTAAGTGTCCGACTCTTGTTTCGGCTCAGGTCATCATCTCAGGGTTGCAGGATGGAGGCCCGTGGTGGGCTCCATGCTCAGTGCTGAGTCTACTAATGCTTCTTTCCCCTTTTCCCTCACTCTAAAAATAAATAAGTGAATCTTAAAAAAAAATGATTCCACATATAAGTGAGACCATAAAGCATTTATCTTTCTGTATTTATATTTAGCATAATGCCTCAAGGTCCATCCATGTTGTCGCAAAGGTAAGAAATCATTCTTTTATGGCTGCGTATTATTCTGTTCTATGTATATACATATTCTTTATCCATTCATCCACTGATGGACCCTCAGGTGTATCCATATTCTGGCTGTTGTAAATAATGTTATAATAAACATGGGGGTGCATGTATCTTTTCAAATTAGTGTTTTCACTTTTTTTCAGATATATACCCTGAAGTAGAATTGCCAGATCATGGTGGTTCCATTTTTAATATTTTGAGGAATGTCCATACTGTTTTCCACAGTGGATGCAAAAATTTACAGTCCCAGCAACAGTGCACGAGGGTTTACATTTTCCCACATTATCACCAACACTTGTTCTTTCTTGTCTTTTTGATAACAGCCATTCTAACATATATGAGATGATATCTCATTGTGGTTTTAATTTGTATTTCCCTGATACTAGTGACGTTAAGCATCTTTTCATGTACCTGTTGGCCATCTGTATGTCTTTTTTGGAAAAATGTCTATTGAGATCCTCTGTTGACTTTAAATCAGATTATTTGTTCTTTTGTTATTGAGTTGTATGAGTTCTTTATATAATTTGGGTATTAGCCCCATATTAGTAATATGACTTGCAAATATTATCTTCCATTTGGTAGGTCACCTTTTCAGTTTGTTGATGGCTTCCTCTGTCGTGCAGAAGCTTCTTAGTTTGATACAATCTCACTTGTTTATTTTTGCTTTTGCTACTTTTTGCTTTTGGTGTCAAATCCAAAAAATCATGGCCAAAACCAATGTCCAAGAGCTTACCACCTACGTTTTCCTCTGGGAGTTTCATGGTCTCAGGTCTTACATTCAGGTCTTTAATCTATTTCAAATTTATTTTTCTGTATGATTTAAGATAGTAGCCCATTTTCATTCTTTTCCATGTAGCTGTCCAGTTTCCCTAACATCATTTATTGAAGAGACTGTCTCTTCCCCATGGTTTATTCTTGGCTCCCTTGTTATAAATTCATTTGACCATATATGCGTGAGTTTATTGCTAGGCACTCTATTCTATTCTATTCTATTCTATTCTATTCTATTCTATTCTATTCCATTCTATTCTATACAAAGTTTTGGAGACTAAAGCTCTATAGGATATCTTGAAATCTGAGATTGTGATACCTCTAGTTTTTGTTTTTGTTTTTTAAGATTTTACTTGTTTATTTGACAGAGAGAGAGAGACCACAGCAGGGGGAGCAGCAGGTAGAGGGAGAGGGAGAAGCAGGCTAGCAGAGGAGGGAGTCTGATACAGGGCTCAATCCCAGGATCCTGGGATCATGACCTAAACTGAAGGCAGATGCTTAATGACTGAGCCACCCAGATGCCCTAGCTTTTTCTTCTACCTCAAGAAGAACTTGAGGGGATCTTTTGTGGTTTCAGACAAATTTTAGGACTGTTTGTTCTATATCTGTGGAAAATGTCATGGCAATTTTAATACAAATCACACTCAATCTGTAGATTGCGTTAGGTAGTATGGACATTTTAACAATTTAATTCTTCCAATCCAAGAGCATGGAATATTTTTTCATTTATTTGTATTCTCTTCAATTTCTTCCATTATGTCTTAAAGTTTTCAGTACACAACAAAAGCTATTTTAATGGCACATATTTTGTTTCACTCTGAATTAAGGTCATTTTATTCTACCAAAAACTTCACGGCAAATCACAACTTTAAAGTTCCCTTTTTGATAGAAATAAAAGTTCAACTGGATTTTTTTTCAACTGTCATTCTAGAGGGATGAAAGCACTGATATACAGAGTGAGTGAATAGCTTCATTTTATGAATGAAGATCATGAATGTGAATTTTTTTCCTATCCTGTTCATAAGGGGACTTTTCTGGTGGAGAAACCCTCCGGTTTCATTAAAACCGTCCTTGACTATTGGGCTCCACGTCTGACCATGGGTCCTGCAGGTGACTGTGCCCAGTACCACCAGGCACCCAGGCTGACTTTGGCTTTCTGAGCAGTCATTCGGCCTGCTGTGAATAGTTTTCCAAGTTTGGACCCAGGTTCATAGCCCCTCTTCCAGTCACAGAACTTCGAAACACCACCACCGTTTCAAACAGAATCAATGTCTAATGAATAATGAGTAATTTTGGAATACTTTACATGATGTAAGTAAATAGACTGAATTTAGTTTTGACAGCCCCGTGACAAGGAACACAGAGGAGGCTTTGTTACAGAGGAGATATTTATTAAACATTATCTTCTACAGGGTCTTATGTTCCTAATCCTTGCAGCTAAGGATTGCTCCTACATAAAGTAAATCAGATTGGGCTCTGAGAAGGCTCCATATATGGCAATTAAACACAACCATCTTTCTTTAAATATGCCTCTTTCAATCCCGGCTAAAGAACATAGAAAACACAAGAGTCTGAATACAAGATTCCAGTTTTCCTCTAATGGACACACCCCTACAACTTAAGCAGTGATGAGAAAGTTTATGATACACATTACATCAGGCTCACAGAAGAACACACAACATTTTCCGGGCTAAACCGGGGCACTTAGTAATGTTTTCATAGTGGGTTGCAAACCCAGCTCTTAAGAATTTCATACTGATAATCAAAATAAGCCCAATAGAGCTGTCAACTTATATTGACAATACTTTACTTACATCCTCCCTTTCTCCTTTGAAGAAATGCACTATAATTTAGAAATAAGACACATGCTGCCTTCTACTCTTCTACATTATCAAATAAACTGCCAAAAAGAGCCAAACACTTTGAAAGGCATGTTTGCAGAAGAAATAAAGATAAGGAAGCCATAACGATAGCTTAATGGGTAAAGGATAAGAGTCACACTCGATTCTGCCAAAAGTGGACCTGTAGAGGTTCAGACACGCATCCAAGAATCAGCTCTGTCTGCCAACATATCAAACGCTCAGTTCATGCAACTGGCAAGGAGGCTCTGGGAGCTGCCCCTGAGCCTGTCACTGTCATCGGTGAGGAAAGACAGACAAGTTCCCAGATAGCTAAGATCACGGAGGACCTGTCTTCAAGCCAAAGCCACATATTCTTCCCTCAAGAGAACTTCCACTCTATGGCCCAACACATTCTGGGAACAATTCACTTGCTGAAACATCCTGAAATAATTTTCCTTGATTAACTACAGCACAGAAGATTTAAGGATCTGACGATACAGTATTACTTTGCAAATAATGATGGCATTCTGATTTATAAATGGCTTTTCTCAAGATGAAAGCAAACTATTTAGTTATTGGACCCCCAGCATATAGTGTGGCTGTTAACAGCTGTCCCAAGTAAGTCGTGCTGTATAGGCAAGTCACTGAAGGGTTAGGGGGTGTGGTAGGGCACTGATTACCTTTAGGTTGTACTTCCATGAAAAATACAAAAATTCTGAAAATAATATCCAAAATTAAATATTTCCTTTGCTTTTTAAATGGTACTATCTTTTGAAAGTGTGAAAAACAAGACTGACAAAGATTAAAGGTATTAGATCATTTAATATTGAGACATTTTTAAAAAGCTGAAGGGCAAGAGTTTTACATTTCCCCAGAGAGCCCTCTTTGAAGATCTAGCAGTCTATTATGAGCTGATGTTAAATCTCACTCTGCTTTTCATCTGGAATGGTGTATGGCATGCAGAAGATCAAGAAAACCCAAATTAATTTGGAGCCTTTGTAAAAATCCCTGAGACTTCTTGAGATGCTGTAAAATGTCACAAAAACAGAGCTGGGAATCACTCTCATGCACATGTTGTCTTTTTGATTCATTTATTATTTAGATCTGACCTACTTTCTAAAAGGATTTGAGGAGGTTGGAGATTTTCTCAGTATGGTGCCAAGCTGAAAAAGGGCTTTGATAAAAGCTTTTTGGCAATGGTATTAAGAGTTATAAAATTTCTAAAGATGATACTGACAAAGATACCTTACACCGGGAAAGAAAAACAAGAAAATGTGCTTTGAGTATAGACAAAAACATTTATTCTAGACATAGGGAAAATCCTTCTGATTATAAAATATAAGAATGTGATAGACTGGGTGCCTGGGTGGCTCAGTTGGTTAAGTGACTGCCTTCGGCTCAGGTCATGATCCTGGAGTCCCGGGATTGAGTCCCGCATCGGGCTCCCTGCTTGGCAGGGAATCTGCTTCTCCCTCTGACTCTCCCCGCTTCTTATGCTCTCTTTCTCTCTCTCAAATAAATTAAAAAAAAAAAAAAAAAAAGGAAAAGAAAAGAATGGAATAGATTGGGGAGCCTGGGTGGCTCAGTTGTTAAGCATCTTCCTTCAGCTCTGGTCATGATTCCTGAGTCCTGGGACCAAGCCCCACATTGGGCTCCTTGCTCGGCCGGAAGCCTGCTTCTCCCTCTCTCACTCCCCCTGCTTTTGTTCCCTCTTTTGCTGTGTCTCTGTCAAATAAATACATAAAATCTTAAAAAAAAAAAGAATGGAATAGATTATATAAACATAAGCCTCTCTTGGCTAGTGAAAAAGCAAATGCCCCTGCCTGGACAGACCATTTCCTTTAGGACAAGAATAAGCCTGAAGGCTCTATACCAACGTTAAAAGGTTCGGAAAGAGAGAGAAGAGAAAGGCTCTGAGGTGGAAGGTAGAACACATGCATACAGGAAAAGTGTATGGAGCCAAAGCCTACCTAACCTAGGATTCTGACAGGAGACTGTGGTAGGAGGCAAACGGGCATGCAAGGAAACTCCATGAATCTGTACATATTGCTGGTAAACGTGATTCAGTTATCTCAGCAGCTGACCTGTTCCGGCCAAAACACACATCTTAAAACACCAATGAACACTAACATGGTAGAGAAAGACTACACTTTCTAAAATTTACACTGCAATGTCTATTTACTGAACATTGATTAAAAGACATAGGCCAGGACATTCTAAAATGCTATTCTGTAAGTTCTCTGGTTTATTATTTTAAAATTTGGTGCTCCTCTCTAAATTAAGTCAAGTCTGAAACTGTTTACCGGCAATATTGCTTCCACACTCCCTTTTAATACTGGGATTTTAGTACAGGATTCAGACACATGAAATGATCATTGAATTTTTGGAGGGAAATTAGGAAAGTAAGCACAAGAATATCACAACTATTCGTTCTTAATTACAAAAATTTTCTATTCTTAAACAATGGGCAACCCCCAATAAAAAGTGAGTCACACTAGGGTTTTAACTGTAGGGTTGACTGCCACGACTGCCACACAGTACTCATTCCTTAAGGCAGAGCCTCTCCTGTGTGTGTGCTTGCAAGGGATTATGGGTATGCCAAATGTTGGATCTGTCCATCCCCTGGTGGTCTGTTCATCCCAGTGTCCCACACAGAGATGATCATTTTTATGTATCACAAGGGACAATAAAGAGTGGGAAGCATGGCCCCTGGCCTCCAGGGAGTGTCGTGGGCTCCCCAAAATCTACACGTAGGGCTTTGGGAAAGAGATCAGAAAGCGGTGTAGGAAAAGGGGGACATTCTTTTCTCTCCTTTCCCTAACTAACTTCTCTGCTACATATTTTTCTGCCACTTTACTAAGAGATCATCCAAACCTGCCCGGTAAGGCAAGTGCTCACGAGGATCAGGACGGTGTGGTGGGATCGGAGAGGCTGTGGTGCGCATACTCTGCCTAGAGCTCCTGCTGACTCCTAGTGCTTGCAGGGATGCAGGTGCTGTGTGGCCTTCACAAGAAGGAAAGCTAGAAATGCAGGTGTATGTGTAAAATATCCTTATTTTTAAATGTTGGTAGCAAATGCTTATCGCATGCTTTCCTTTTAATTAAAAACAAAATCAAAAACAAAAAAACAACTGCGCATGCCTGAAGCAGTGACTCCATAAGCAGCTCAGAGCTGCCTGGATCCTCCAGGGGACCCCACTCCACAGGGGCTTCAAATCTTCTTGGACTAAAGGTTACTCTGTTTCAATTTTTACCTCCACAATGAACTTCACTTTGTAAACACAAGATGAAACCTATATTTACACACATTAAGAACACATTTCTGCCACTTAGCTATGTGTAATTGTTGCTTTCCTTTGTGAGTTCTCAGAAGAGAAAACATTATTTAAAAGAGATAAATGGGGGGCACCTGGGTGGCTCAGTAGGTTAAAGCCTCTGCCTTCGGCTCAGGTCATGATCCCAGGGTCCTGGGATCGAGCCCCGCGTCCGGCTCTCTGCTCAGCGGAGAGCCTGCTTCCCTTCCTCTCTCTCTGCCTACCTATGATCTCTGTCTGTCAAATAAATAAATAAATAAAATCTTAAAAAAAAAAAAAAGATAAATGGTGCATGCATTGCTAACTTTTAAAACATTTGTAATTAGGGTAATACCACATATACACAAAAAGTTAAAATTCCTTTTTACCTGACAACACTACTTTAGGGGGAATAAAAGCAGTACTTAGTTAAGGCCAGAGAAAAGAATCTGCTTTGGAAATTTGGAAATGTTCATGGACTTCCAAAAAAAGCTAACCAGAAGGTACCTGGTAGAGGTTCCATTAGAGGCTCTCCTAGAACACTCCATAGTGGCCTACAATAGATAGAAAGCCAAGCAGACATTTGAAACTTCTGACCTGACAGCACCACCAGGTCAGCCCTGGAGTCCAAGTCACTCTATGTTTTCATGGTGTTTTTACCTCTTCAGTCTACTAACGTGGCAACAGCAAGGCTCCTTCCTTATCTTCGTCCAGAAGGCCAGATTAATGCAGTTGCCACAGATCTTTCTCCTACACTGATAGCAGAGTCACACTAACCACAGCAGTGCTGCTGCTGCTGGTGGAAGACTGCCTTTCTCCAGGCTGGCCAAGCAGCACTGTGCTGGATTCAAAGATCACAGAAAAAGGACTGCGGAGCTTTTAAAATTGTTTATAAATTCCTCTTTTAGTCTGGAGGAGAAGTCACACTTTTTGACTTGAAAAATTGTAAACTTCTCTTGCAAGGACATTTCCTGCTCTGTGCTTTAAGTCTGAAGATGTGTGCAAATGCCAATAGCCACCTGCCATCTCTACTGCTCTGAGTCTTGCCCTTGAACTGAGAAAGGGCAAGCAGAAACCAAAAAAAAAAAAAAAAAAAAAAAAAAGTACACACTGCAATATTTCTTCTACTAAAACTTTCCATCTAGCAGCTGCATTTTCAACACTATGGAAATGAATCACCCTGCCTTTTCTAGTGATCTAATTTTAATTAAAAATGTTCTCTATCAAGAGACTGATGCCCGATATAAAGGAAAAGTTGTAAGTGAAGTGGAAACAAAGGGGTACTTCTCACAGGCTTTTGGAGGTAAGTTCTTAAAAATATTAAATAGTAATAATATTTTTATTTTCAATTGCTTGTTACAGTGATTTGTTGTTGTTAAGCAGGTTATAGGACAATATACTCTGTTCATTTTTTCAGAAGTACTTTAGGATTATAGAAAACATTTGAAAATATTAGAAGTGGTATTCAGTGGGAGATCTATGCCTTAAGGCAACACAACAATTGTCCTTGTTTCTTTCAGTAAAAAAAAATACCAAGTCTAACATGCACATAAAGTAAAATAATGTTGTTATTTTTTTGGCTAAAACCACAATCATACACTGGTCTAAGGAGAGAGTAGGTTTGAGGAAAGAAAACCTAGACTGTACACTCCTTCTAATTAATGGATCAGTGTTGCTGCTAAAAATGATAAACAAGCAAACAAACAAAAAACCCAACATGTAAATATCCCCACAGTCTTTCTGGTGGATCAGATTTTCACCAGTACTGGTCTAATTTACAGCTGATAATTTTCTAATCATACATCTTAAATTATTAATTTTATCATTAATTAACAGAGCTCTTTTAGGAATAAATATTCATAGCACTGGAATTAATATAGTAACATATTTCATTAAGAATCTTCACCCCTACCTTAAGTTCTAACATAATTTAATGACTTCTGCTTGTGATTCTCTAAGAAAATACAACAGAACCTCAGGACTAAAAAGATAACTAAAATTCTTTAAAAGTACATAACAGTTTTATCAAAATGGTATAGTGCTTGATAAAGTACTTGGTAAATGACAAATAAATATCAATTCAATAAATATCCTTGAATTCAGTATCACAAATTCAGTAAATATCACTGAATATGATGTCTGAGTTAAATAATCAGCCTGCTTGTTTTAAACAAAGTAAAAGACAATACTGAAATACTTTTTGCAAAAGGAAATCATCAAATGCCAGAATTGACTTTATAGAGCTTAATGGGACCACAAACCTTTACTTTAATAGCTTCAATTAACCAAGTTATAATGTACACTGCCTAGCTGTAACAGAGAGAAAAACCAGTTTTGCTTGCTTTTACTTTTTTGTTGATTCATGTACCAAATTTTGGATTTAAAAAAAACCTGTTCAGAAGCCTTTACAGAGGCAACCCTCTCGCGTCCCCTCCCTCTTCACTCAATCAACTTTGCTTTAAACCTAAAACAAAAATAAAAAACCCTTTGCAGAATACTCTTGGGACATCTCACAATTAAGTCATAAAGAGGTGCCCACAGAAGTAGAAATCAAAGGGAAAGCACCCTCTGGGACAAACATACTTAGTAAGGTGTGGTGCTCATAGCAGGTATTTGCCAAATGCTTGCTAGGAGAATGAATAGTGGGTAAGAGAAGCATGATCTCCTCACTGCACAAGAGTGGACGGTGGAGATACGTGTCCTGTGATAAAATCAGAAATTACAGGTCCTGTATCTGCCTTTTCAGAGGCCAGTCTATATGGAGAATAACTGTCCTGAATTTTCTGAATAGGGCATTCCTCTTAGAATTTTCTTTAGATGTGTTGGGAAAGATTTTAAGTTACTGACCCAACATTTTACTGTTTGTGAGTGTATTCAGATCTATTTATTCCTGAATAAGTTTTGTTGCACTAAGTTTTCTTCTAGGAAACAGTATATATAATCTAAATTTTAAATGTATAGGCAAAAAGGTTCTTCATAGTGATTTGTTTTTAAAAAATGTGTATTGCCTGTATTCAGTTGCAACACATAAAAAATATATACATTATTCCTAATATTGCCCATTATGCTCCCCCCCTTTCACCGTTGTTCAATCAATCAAGTTAAAGGGGAGTTTTTGTTGATTTTGTTCTGTTGTTCTCCTACAATTTCTATGTTCTGAAGTTAACTGCTACTCATCTGTGTATTTTTCTTCACCTTAACCCAGATTTCTCTTTTTTCTTAACTTCTTGGGCTGGTAGGCCTACATATGGTAATTTTTATAAAATTCTAATATGTATTTGAAAAAAATGCAAATTCTTGAATTGCTGGAAGCAGTGCTCTTCAAACGCTCATTAGATCAAGTTTAACTGTACTGTTTAGGTATCTCGTAATTAACTGCTTTATCTGTCAATTACTGAGGTGGCATGCTAAAATCTCTCATGATGATTAGGGATTTTTAACTTTTGATATGTATATCTGATATACACTACGTATGTACCAGTTTGGAATCATTTTATCTTTCAGGTAATTCATTCCTTTTACCATTAGGTGGCAACTTTTACCATGAAGTTTTTAACTGAAATTTATCATGTATGACTAACATAGCTATAGCAGCCTTGTTTGGTTAACAGTTTGATATACTGCATTCTATCCCTTTACTTTCAATTTTTCCAGGTTTCTGAGTTTTACATTTTTTGAAAACATTCACAAATTCTGTATCTTCATCCAGTCCCAGAATGTCTTTTAATTGGCTACTTTAGCTCACTTGACATTTTGTTCTAGTTACTGACTTATTTCTGCCATTTTATATTGGGCTATTTCCCATGGTGTTCGGTCACTGCCAACCCCACCAACCCCCCAGTTCATACTGATTTAAAAGACTCCTATGTTTTGTAGTGGTTACCCTGAATCATTTGAACACACACAGCTTGATTTAAATCTATGGTTAATCAATTTATTTATTCTCACCCTGGTTGTGGGATGCTTTAGGTCTGACGAGCTTTTACCTGATGCTGTTGGTATCTAGTATTTTTCCTTCACCTTTTTAAAACCTCTACTCAGACTAGTCATTTCACTGTCTTATATAGTCCATGCTTATTTTAATTTAAAACAAAGTAAATCATTTGCTCATTAGTTTGTAAACTTCATTTCTTTCTTCTGTGCTCAATTTTCTAAGTGGGCTCCACAGCATGGAGCCCAAGGCAGAGCTCGAACTCACAACCCTGAGCTCAAGACCTGAGCTGAGGGATGCCTGGGTGGCTCAGTCGAAGCATCTGCTTCCGGCTCAGGTTGTGATTCCAGAGTCCCGGGACTGAGTCCCTCATTGTACTCCTTGCTCAGCGGGGAGACTGCTTCTCCCTCTCCCTGTCTCTTCCCCTGCTTGTGCTTTCTCTCTCTCTGACAAATAAATAAATAAAATCTTAAAAACAAAACAAAACAAAAAAACTGAGCTCAAGAGTCGGCTGTTTAACTGACTGAGCCACCTGAGAACCCCACTATGTTCTTCTTTCTGAACCAAATTAAATACAATTAAGAATTCAGTTGCATTAAGAGCGTTTTCAACAGCCACATGTACTGGATAGCGCTGCTTTAGAAGCACCTACAGCAAGGGGCCGCTAGAGGCAAAAGTTCTGTTTTTGTTTGAAAGGTGTGTTTATTTTGTTCTCCTAATTATTGAATTGAATTAATTCTCTCAGTACTCTTATTCCTTTGTCTTCCAAAGTCAGTAGCTGCAACTAAATATGCTGTCAGTCTAACTGGTGCTCCTTATAAATAATCAATTTCAAGTACACTTTGGTAGCTTCTGTCTCTTTGTGCATTTCTTTCTACTTACTGTGCTTGGTGTCTTATCCTACTGCCCAAATCAGAGATTTATGACTTTTGAATATTCTAGAAAATTTTTAGTTATAAATCTCTTCAAATACTGTCTCTCCTAAATCTATTTTATCATTCTGAAAATTCTTCTCTATTATGTGTTAGACTTTCTAATTCTACCCTCCTGATCGTATTTTCCATTCCTTTCCTTTCTTGGATGAATTCTGAATAACTCCCTCAGATGTCTCTACCAGTTCCTCAATTCTCCTTTCTGTTGTTACAAATTAACTGCTGAGAAATAAGCCAATCAGAGAAAGACAATTATCATATGATCTCACTGATATGAGGAATTTGAGAAACAAGGCAAAGGATCATAGGGGGAGAGAGGAAAAAATGAAACAAGATGAAACCAGAGAGGGAGACAAACCGTAAGAGACTCTTCATCTCAGGAAACAGATTGAGGGTTGCTGGAGGGCAGGGGAAGGGGATGGATGGGGTGGCTGAGTGATGGAGATCGGGGAGGGTATATGTTGGGGTAAGTTCTGTGTATTGTGTAAGACTGATGAATCACAGACCCGTACCCCTGAAACAAATAATACATTATATGTTAATAAAAATTAACTTAATCAAAAAACAAACAAACAAAAAACAAAACCAAATTAACTGCTGAGTCCAGGTAGAAACTTTATTTCAAGAATTAAAATTTTAATTTCTAGATATTCGACTTGGTTTTTTTTCAAATCTACCTGTCACTTTTCTTATAATCTACATCTGACATTTACATCCATTAAAAAGTCTGTATCTGATAATTTCATTAACCAAAATTTTGGGGGGTGGTTGGTTAACCCTGCTT